CACCACCACCAACACACCACACACAACACCAAACCCTCACCACACCATATAAGATGGACACAGAGAAAAAGGAGGTAGGATATTATGAAGAGGAGAGAGCGTATTGAGAGAATAGTTAAATAAGAGGATGATGGGATATGGTTATATATGGATAAAATGTATATATATATTAAGTAATTGTAAGAGAAAATTTGAGGTAGTATATATAATATAATGAATGTAAAAATAATAATTGACGTTGTTATTTTAAATAGTAAATAAGAAAGATTTTTCCAATATTTCTAAATATTTTTTTTAATTTTTTATCATGAGCTTTGTTGAGGTAGTCATGATCGTTCACTCCCACAATTAGGCTATCTTCTCGTCACGATATGCTTTGATTCCAATATGAGTGAAATCATCCATGGATAAGGATGCTTTGAGCTTCGCTTGATAGTGGAGAGAGAGTTAGAGAAGACGATGACGATGAACTCCGGCGATGGAGGTGGAGTTCGTCGAAGAGAGAAGAGCAAAGAGAAAGAGAGAGAGGGGAAAAAATGGAGAGATAGTTTGATTTGAGGGGATCAAATTTCTCTGTGATATATGAGTGTTAGGGGTTGAGGGACCTTAGATGTCATAAAATAATATTGTGAATCTGTTCCATTATTAAAAATAGGAGAGGGACTTTAGACTAATTTTCTCAATAATTTATTATGATTTAGATATATATGGGTGATCCAAAAAAATTTAAAATTTTAGAAAAATAAATATTTAAAAAAAGTAAAAAAAATATTTAAAATATTGAAAAAATTAAATATTTGAAATAAAAATTATATATTTAAAATTAAAAAAATAAAATTTTCTTAAATATTTTTAAATATTTAAAAATTTCAAAATACAATTCAAAACTTTTTTCAAATCTCAAAAACTCTTTTACAAACATTTTTCAACACTCATGATATTCTCTTTTTAAAATTTAAAATATAACTTAAAACTCAAAATATAATTTCACACCGGATTTATAATTTTAAAAAGGGTTCGTTTGGGATATGAGTTGGCTTTTTAGTTATTTTAGCTTGGGCTAAAAAGCCTCGTTTGGAATAGGCTTTTTGATTTTTTTGACTTTTGTGAGAGAAAAAATGAAATGGTTATAGATTGAATGTGATATTTTGTCTTATTAAGTTAAAAAACTTGACATGGGTAGGTCCACAAGACTTACGGCCCACAGCAAACCACCCCAAACCCATCGCTTGGGACCCATAGCATAACCCGGTTGGCAAGGCCCAAGACAGCTGGAGGCCATCTGGACATGGAGGGTCAATGGCATTCGGGCACATGGCAGGTGGAACACAGGCCACATCAGCAGACAAAGATCTGCAGAGTTATTGCCACAACACATCACCATTAATGCAGGCCATCACAGCATTTATTACGACAACACCTCCCCGTCGGAACAGAGCCCCCTTACCCTGAACAAGGTAAGCTACGACACTGGCTTTCGGCGGAAGGGGGCACGTCACAAGGGACAGTGAAATGATTACCAAAGGATATAAACAAGAATGGAAGACAAGAGGAAGGTTAAGTTTTTCTATCTCTCTCTCTCTCTCTCTCTCTCTCTCTCTATATTTCTTTTTTTCTCTTTCCTTCTACTTCTCATTTATATTCTTCTTTTTCATCACTTTTGGATGAAATTCAAATATCAAAAAAGGTCAAAATACGCATGACGCCTACTATAATGTAGTCTCTCTTTCTCTCTCTCCTATTCTTCCACCTCTGCCCGCCTCGTTCCACTCATGTTCTCTCTTTCTAATTTTTTATTTTTTATTTAAAAACTAAATTATTGATAAAAGAAAAAAAAATTGACTGAAACAATTTTAAGACCTCATTTTTTCTTTCTTTTTTTTTTGTGTGGAGAATATCAAAAAAATCAAAAGTAAAAAATAATTACAAAATGATGAAGATAAAAGTGATTTATGCATTTAATTATGGCAGTGTTTGGAAATGAAATTTATAGATCACTTTAGCCTCTTCAAGAAAAAAATTCAAAAAGTATTGTTGCTGACTTCCCACATGATACACAGCTGTAACGGACAAAGGGTAAAATGACGCTTTTGCCTTTTTAATTTTTGAGAAACTCACAACAACAACGATAATACACATACGGACATTTTGGTCATTTATTGTCTCTACATTATTTCAAATACATTTTTCAATACATCAATCTAACAAAAAATCCAACCCATCTTCTTATATGCAAAAACTAAAATAGTTAAATAGGCAAAACCTCTAAAAAGAAAAAAAATTGAATGTATATTTAGCTTTTGTTGTGAATCTTGAAAATTAAAAAAAAAAACAAAAGAAAAAAGATTGAATGATATTTAGCTTTTGTTGCACTATTAAAAAAAGTACTTTTTGCGACCGTTACAAGCCGTCGCAAATAATAAAAAAACAGTCGCAAAAGGCTTTTTGCGACGGCTCATGCGACGGCAAATAAGGGTCGCGAATGTGGGGGTGGCAAATACTTTTTGCGACCGCAAAATAACAGTCGCAAACTATTTGCGACTGCCTAACCTACTTTTTGCAACCGTTATTTTGCCGTCGCAAAAAAAAAAAAAAAAACTTTTAGCAATTATTTTTTTACTGTCACAAATAATTATTTTTATAATAAAATCATATACGTTTGCTACAATAAAAAAATCAATTCCAAGCACCTAACAATTTTTTTTAATAAAAAATAACAAAATTAACAAATTAATTTAAATTCATAATAGAAATACTAACCCATTCACATATAAGTGTGCAAACAAAATATAAACTTTCATACATGTAAAAACAAATATCCATCAACCATCATTAAAATATATTGTACTAAAAGATTCGAGTCCTCAAAAAAAAAAAATAAATAAATAAAAAGAGCAACATAATCTCAATTTGGCTCCCAAACATCACCCGCTCGATTACTACTCCCTCAACAAAACCTGCAAAAACATATACACGTGACTTGAAAATTTAATGCAGTTTAACTTGAAATAATAAAAATAAAACTATTTCAAAAAAAATTGTCAAGAGAAAAATAAAAAGCTATCAAAATTCGTGTCATTGATCAGATGCCAGCCAGACTACACCATGTAATTAAAGGGATTTACCGACGCATACTATAATGAAAATTCACAAAACCTAAAAAGCCTTTTCTCAAGATTTTCCAGAATTGTTCATCCAGTTTGCTATAACTAGAAATATATGCTGCATTTTGTTCCATATCCAATGGATGTTCATAGAAATCTCAAGCTATCATTATATGCATGTTGGGAAACATGAATTCGCCAATAGTCCGTGAATGTTACCATCGAATTATCATTGTATTTATGTTGTCATGCATCAATTATCAATTAACAGCAAGCTCTAAGGACCCCACTCCATATATAAACAAACAAATGGCGAAGACAAATTAGAGACCATAGAAGAGAAAGCAGAGGGTCTGTTGCAGAATTCGCACCTTATACATGATTCTTTGGCTTCGATTGATGTTCAAACCCAACAAGTGGCGAAACTGACACAGAATGTTGAAGTTCAAGTTAACCTCGTGTTAAGGGATACAGAAGCAGTTTATGAGCAATCCAAGGGAATTGCAGCTTCTCAGTCAGAACTACAAGAATGCTGAAGAGATGTGCATCTTAATTCCTTAACAAAACTACTAGTCTATTTATTGTGGAAAAGAAAGCTGAATAGACTCACCTCAGCTTCGCTTGTAAGATCAAGTTTCTTCACGAGGTACATCTGGATAAATGAGACAGGCAAATTACCATTCCTGTGAGAAAGGAAAAATACAAACAAGTAAAAACAAGTAAAAAAATTATATGGCATGATACTAATCCAAAGCTACAAGAGTTCTCTTCAAATAACACAACAATCAACTAAAATGTGCAGAGCACATCAGCAAAATACCCCAGCTACTCTTCTTGGTCATCGTCGTTGCCATAACTTCCAGAAGCAAGCATCACCCAACTCAGAACATAGTAAGAGATGAATCATATGGTCCGCGAACGAGAAGTATCTGGGAAATAAAGAGGAACAAAGAGTGCCATGATAGTGGAAAGAAAAATCATACCCATGATTTGAATAACATCATCAAGCCAAGCAAGGTTGCTCACAACTAGGCACACACCAGCCATGAATGCCAAAGACATCATGGCCAGAGATAACCCAATAGTGGCAGTACAAGCCTAAGTGCAAAGAGGACTAAATTGAGGTCACCCAAGTGTGCCCAAATGAGAGTTACTATGGATATGACAGAGTTGTACATGGCTATGGTGTCACTGATCAGAAATGCTTTGAAATAGTTGCTGTTTAGCAGAGTTGCCGTGCCTTCGACTGGGGCGGAGCTTTTGTAGCCGCCAGGGACTGTGAATCTGGACAACGTTGGAGAACCTCTTGAATGATCTCAACATGGCCCCTGCTAGCCGCCATGTGAATGGGAAAGAAGCCATTTTGATCCCTTTGGTATGTGCCCTGAATGAATTTGTCTAGTAAGTAGGAAACCCCATTATAATAACCAATGCATGCTGAATGGGATAAAGCACTCCTTCCTTCTTCATCAATTGAATGGATGAGAATTGAGTTCTTGCTCAGTATTATATCAAGAACTTCTGGAATTATGAAGAAGATGAATACGAAGGAAAAACAAATAAAAATTTAAGAAAAAAGAATTAAACAACCAAATAAATATATACATGTATGCTAGAAGATAAAGTCAAGTATTATAAAGAAAAACACTTTCTACCATGATTTTTCATTGAATATCAAGTTAAAAGCATGAAATGAGGAAATAAGACGATTAGTGTAATTAACTTGAACGAGAAAGCATACCTTATTGACTTGAACGAGCACCTTGCTTATAGTATTCGGCAGATCTAGAAGCCAATCCATCTAATCCCTAGCACCAAGATTCATTGTTGGACCCTGGTAGGGGAACTAAACCCTGAAAACATGTGTAAAAAGTGGGAGAGTTAAATTAACAAGACAAGGATATAAAGAAAGGTTTAGTGTAATTAACTTGAACGAGAAAGCATACCTTATTGACTTTGATTCCAGGTACAATGTTTTGCTCACGCAAGCAATTCACAAACTTCTTCCCGTCTGTTGTTGACTGGTAAAGTGTCTTCTCAAACAGAATCGCACCAGAAATATACTCACCCAGGCCAGGAGTAGTCAACAAAAGCTGTCTATAAGCCTGCCTGTTCACTTTAGTGTTGTCCAGGCCAATAGATGATAATCTCTTCCCACAGGTGGCGTTTGATTCATACTCTCCAATATATAGAAAGTGTGATAAATTAATGATACAAAGCATCAAGAGAAAGTGGAAATTCCATGATTTATACTAACTTTACAATGGTTCAACTTATAACATCTTTTTGAAAATAACTAAACAATCCGTAAAAGGAGAAAACAGTTTCTTGAGAAAATTTCAATAAGCACTCCCTCAAGTTAATGAATGCCAAGCTCGCACTAACTTGAGGCTTGACCTCTTGAATCTAAGCTTCAAGAAACATTAATGAGTTTAAGTAACTCTACCCTTTCATGAGAAGACAAGATTTGCTAGTTCCTCATTCCCAATACCAATTCAACAAGCCCTAATTCTTTTTTAAAAGCTATCAAAGCTGGAGCATGAAGCAGTAGAAAATATTTTGTGCAGTGAAGAGTTGAAGTAAACACACTTGAGAATTATAAGGATAAGATTAAGCAACATAAGAGAAAGCAAGAGTACCTCAGCTGCATATGTGCCTCAACAGTTCAAATCAGCACCGGATATGTCCTTCACTCCAAACAAGCTACCAATTCCATCATTACCAAACAGTTGTTCTGGATCATTAAGAGCTACACCAAATATTTCTTCATAGTTCTAAATATTCAAGTCAACTTCATCCATATTGAAGTCCTCATACAATTTATCATCTTCTTCTAAATCAGGTGCTTTTGTTCCAGGACAGCACGTAGAAGAGGTCAGATTTTTACTCAAGCAACAGAGTAAACAGGTAACCTTAAACATATTCATAATACTATAAAGTGATCAGTTTTGTAGTTTGGCAATCTTAATTGATCTAACAAATTATCACTGCATGCATTTTATTTTAATCTTCTTTACAAGCATGGCTAGGATTGAAAACGTGTCATATAACATTCCAAGAAGAAAGGCCCAAAGCTCAAAGCCAATGAGTAAGGCCGAGAGGGCAAATAATGATGGTACTGTTTGGCTGACTAGAATGATTAAGATTGTGAGGACCAAGAAAATATATGAAGAATGGAAGAGCAAAATCAACTAGCCTTCCTGAAGTTGATCTTTAAGCTATACACGCCTCAAAGCATAGAGGACACCAGAGATATCTTAACTATACCTTCTTGGCCCCGCCAAAAACTAATAGCATTATCTACAAGCAAGAACTCTGAAACGGAGACTGAAGCGCCAATTTAAAAAGCCAAACCACACCAAACTAAGCTTTTTGTCCAAATCGAGTAGATTGGGTTTATGAATCATTTTTTTCCATTTCATCACACTAATCAAATTTGTCGAAGCTCCTACACACTTCAAACTCATGAAATTCCTGATTTCAATCAATACACTATTGTACAAAAGCAATTCAATATAGAATAACTCCAGCCAGCTACAATTGAACATACTACAGTTATTCCTATAAGTTTAAATGAACAATATAAGATCTAAGTCAAAAAAAAAAAAAATCATGTAACTGTAATCTATGAAATATAAAACAATACAGCTTTCTTTTCTTTTTTTTTAATATATCCGAAATTGACTTTGGTACTCATACACAGTTCAGAAATTATTAAATTTCAATATCAAAACTAGTAATTCTATTATTTTTTAGTGTTTGGTACAGCTTTTCACATTTACACCTCTGCTTTTTCAACTGGAAATAAATTCAAAAAACTCACCTCCTTTTAAGATGAGTTTTGGGTGCTCTTTTTAAGGTAACTCTGCTCATAAGTATTTTACCACATGGTGTATATGTCTCCCCACAGAAGGTCCATTTTTTTTTTTTTTTTGTTCATAAATACCACTGAAGTCTCATTCTCATTGATTGTTGTAAAAAAATAATAGATGACTTATTCTCATTGATTCAAAAGAAAGTCACCATCTCACTTGGTCACTAAACCTTCTCATCTCTCCATCGCACTTCTCACTTCTCTCTGACTTTCTCACTGGTCTCTTAGGCTCTCTGTCTCTCTCCCCTTCTGTCAGACCTCTCTAACTCTTGCTCTCTTCTCTTTGTCTCACCCTCTCCCTACCCTCACTCACCCAGGCCAGGAGTAGTCAACAAAAGCTGTCTATAAGCCTGCCTGTTCACTTTAGTGTTGTCCAGGCCAAAAGCTAAATAATTTATTAATGTGTTTATTTTTTTTTAAATTCAAATATCGAAAAAGGTCAAAATACGCATGACGCCTACTATAATGTAGTCTCTCTTTCTCTCTCTCCTATTCTTCCACCTCTGCCCGCCTCGTTCCACTCATGTTCTCTCTTTCTAATTTTTTATTTTTTATTTAAAAACTAAATTATTGATAAAAGAAAAAAAAATTGACTGAAACAATTTTAAGACCTCACTTTTTTCTTTCTTTTTTTTTGTGTAGAATATCAAAAAAATCAAAAGTAAAAAATAATTACAAAATGATGAAGATAAAAGTGATTTATGCATTTAATTATGGCAGTGTTTGGAAATGAAATTTATAGATCACTTTAGCCTCTTCAAGAAAAAAATTCAAAAAGTATTGTTGCTGACTTCCCACATGATACACAGCTGTAACGGACAAAGGGTAAAATGACGCTTTTGCCTTTTTAATTTTTGAAAAACTCACAACAACAACGATAATACACATACGGACATTTTGGTCATTTATTATCTCTACATTATTTTAAACACAATTTTCAATTCATCAATTTAACAAAAAATCCAACCCATCTTCTTAAATGCAAAAACTAAAATAGTTTACTAAAATAGTCAAATAGGCAAAACCTCTAAAAAGAAAAAAAATTGAATGTATATTTAGCTTTTGTTGTAAATCTTAAAAATTAAAAAAAAAAAACAAAAGAAAAAAGATTGAATGATATTTAGCTTTTTGTTGTGAACCATAAAAATTTAAAAAAAAAAACCAAAAGAAAAAATATTGAATGTATATTTAGCTTTGGTTGTGAATCTTAAAAATTTTAAAAAAAAATGGTTGTGAACCTTAAAAATAAATAACAATAATAATAAAAAAGATTGGATGTATATTTAGCTTTGGTTGTGGATCTAAAAAAAAAAAAGTTGGTTGTGAACCTGAAAAAATAAATAAATAAATAAAGGAAAAAAGATTGAATGTATATTTAGTTTTGGTTGTGAATTCTTAAATATATATATATATATATATGGGGAAATTAGTGGGTACCCATCCCCAACCCATCCCCTGTGGATATTTAAAGAATATCACTTACCCTACCCAATGGATAAGAAAAAAAAGGAAAAAACTCATGTTTTTGGGTTGGGTTTCCATGGATACCTACAGGTAGGTTATCCATTGCCATCCCTAGTCGACAAATCTCTCTAATTTCTCTTGCTCTTTTCATCATCTCTTTCCTCTCAAGATTCTCCGAATTCATAAACGTTTGTACAAGTTCAGCAATTTCCTCTCTCGCCACCAACTTATCCATTTTCCCATCCTTCTTCACCTTCCACCCAATCTTCCAATCTTCCACAATAAATTTACTGATTGGAGTTTGATCCATAAGCAGAGGCAGAGTAAGGAATGGCACACCCGCAAACACACTTTCCATAGTTGAATTCCACCCACAATGAGTCCAAAATCCCCCAATTGAAGAATGACACAACACCTTCAATTGATCACACCAAGGCACCACCTTCCCTGCGCCACCACAAGCTCCCTTTAACATCGACGCTTTGTCACGCGCCAACCACAAGCACCGCACGCCACTATCCCGCAACCCAGCTACAATTTCATCCATTTGGGCACTTGAAACAGAGAGGAAACTTCCCAACGAAACATACAAAACAGAGCTCTGTGGTTGAGAGTCTAACCATTTGAGGTAATCATGATCGGTTTGGCTAGCGATGGTATGAGAGGTAGGATGTTCAAGATTGAAGTAAGGGGGCCGAAAGAATAGATGGGAAATGGAAATTTGGGTTTTAAAGCATTGATGACTGGAGCTTCGAGCTCGAATGTGGAGGAGAACAAGAGATATTGGGCTTTGGTGACATTGGAAATCAGATTAACAGATTTATACAAGAGTTGGTGACCATTCAGATTAACAACTTTATTTTTATTTTTTTTTATTGTAAACAAATTTTGTTGATACAGTTTATCCCCGGTGAATGGAGCGAACTGGTCCAAGCTCCTCAAGCCCAAGCCCAAATGATCAAGCCCACCGGATACCCTGCAAACAAGTTCAACGGGGAACGGGATAGTCCCCCAGTGAACCCTCCAACGGTCAAGTTAGGAAGAGAAGTAGAGTATATGGGAGAAGATTAGAGATAGGAAGCTTAACATTTTTCTTGTCTACAACGTTCGCTTATATCCTTTGACAATCATTTCGCTGTCCCTTCCGACTTGCTCTCCTTGCCGAAAGCCTATGCTGTAGCTTACCTTGCTCAGGGTAAGGGGGTCCTGTTCCGGCGGAGAGGTGTTGTCGTAATAAATGCTGTGATGGGCTGCATTAATGGTGATGTGCAGTGACAATAACTTTGCAGATCTTTATCTGCTGATGTGGTTCGTCCTTCTCTTGCCGTGTGTCAAAATGTCATTGGCTCTTTATGCCATGTTGGACTCCAGCTGTCCTGGACCTCGTCAGCTGGGTTATGCACTGGGCTTCAAGTGATGGGCCATAGGTGATTCATAGCCTTTATGGACTTATACATGTCAGTAGTCCCCCATTCCCGAGTGCAGCTTTAGTCCAACGAAGGGAATATTAGTGACATAGATGAGTGTGTTAGGGATTGGCAGGATGGAGGTCGACCGGAAGGGGTGATCGAGGGGGGGCCGACCGCAGTGGTTGGCCGAGCAGGAGGGTCGACCGCAAGGAGGGCCGACCGCGGTGTTTGGCCGAGCAGGAGGGCTAACTACGAGGAGGGCCGACCGCAGTGTTGGCCGAGTGGGAGGGCTGACCACGAGGAGGGCCGACCGCGATGTGGGCTGACTGGGAGGGCCGACCGCGGCGTTTGGCCGAGCGGGAGGGCTGACCACGACACTTGACCGAGCGGGAGGGTCGACCGTGAAGGGTGAGGTGGAGGGGCATGGGGCTTGAGATGCGGCGAGTCACGTGGTGAGTTGAAGTGGAAAAGACAAGGTAAGGGGAGGGGACAGTGGATCATGGACGTACAGGTGGCAACATCCCGTAGGGGGAGAAATTAGGCATTGGATAAAAAATGAAACGGTAAGTCATTATGGGTGTTGAAGAGACAATTTTGGCGGATGAATTTGAAAAGTTTTCAAACTGGTGAAAATTAATTGGGATCCTTGGAATACGGGCAAACCGTGGGCTTTTGGCATTATTCGATTTACCTACCTGTTTACGAAAAATCAAAATATTCTGTGAATTCCTTTGTTGCTCACAATACACCTCTGCAACACTTTTTCAATTTCCTTGTTCCTGCCGCCGAAGCGATTCGCAAACATACCATAGAAATGACCGAAGAAGGGAGTGCGATTGTCAGGGTGGACCCGCTTAGAGATGACGATGCTGTGGAGCTAGCAGCGCAGTATAGGACAGAGAGGGTGGGAGAGTCGGTGGTACGACCCCACGGTTCCACCATGATAGCAGCTCCAAAGCCAATCAGCCAGGCGGAACCAGATCATTGGCATACGAAGGCTGACAAATCCATGATTACTGGGGCGGAGTTAGAGGCTATCCGCGAAAAATACCAGATCCTTGGGGAAGTGGAGCTATTGCTGCCGACATCAACGGAAAGGCCGTCTGACACCAGGCCAGGAGAGTTTTCTCTCTATGAGGAAGCTCTGAAGGGTGGACTGAGGTTACCACTGCCGCAAGTGGTGGTAGATGTGCTCAATCATCTGGAGGTAGCACCGGGGCAACTAATGCCCAACGCATGGAAGATCTTGCTGGCCTGCGCAAGTGCGTGGCCGAAAGCGAATGAAGGGGAGGCCATGACAGTAGACGAATTCTTTGCATGTTATAAGGCCTCGGGGCAGCAGGAGACGTGGGTCACTCTGCAGGTAGCAGTGGGAAGAGGGTTGGTGACGGGGCTACCGTCGTCGATCAAGGGGTGGCGACCACGATGGTTCTACGTGTCTGCCAATGGGGAGCTTGGAGTACGCACCGTTTGGAAAGTACCTATCAGGTCGGTGGAGCCGAAACTGGGGGCAGCTGCAGAGAGGAGGGTGAAGAGGGTGAAGATGGTGGAGGGAGAGAGAAAAGGCCAAATGGGACGAGCTCGTTCAACCGTCGGCATTGTTTGAGGCGGGGTTGGGGCCAAAGCCAAGTAGTGGGGACCTCGACCGAGTGGAGTTTGAGGCAAGGAGAAGGGCTCAGGAGGCAGAGGATCAGGCCATTCTTACTAAAGCCCAACAATTCAAAGAGTCCCAGGCCGACCGACCACCAAAACCGGTTGCGAGGGAGAGGATTCGACCTCGCCCCAAACCCTTGGGAGAGAAAAACTTGGGCGATTTTGTGCCGCGGCCGCCCCCAGCAGACCCTTTGAAGGAGAGGTCCTTGAAGGAGATGGAGGCGTTGGGCGTGGGGAAGAAGAAGAAGAGGGTGAGTCGGGGTGAGGAAGTGTCTGCCCAGAAGAGGAGGAAGGAGGCAAGTGTGAAGGAAACTAGTGTGGCCGAGGGGGCTGAAGGGGAAGAAGTGGAGGGGGCCCCAGGAAAGGTAGGTGGCCCAGAAGTGGTGGATGTTGCCTCAGAGGGCATGGAGGTGGTGCCGGTGGTGAAGGCGATCGCCGCCGGGGTCGCAAAGGCCGCCCTCGAAAGGCAAGTGGAGGACGAGGCTGCTGGCCCAGGGCCAAGGAAGGAGGAACAGCCCCAGGGTGGGCTTGCACCTCAAGAAGGATGAATCGGTGTGACCACGGCGATCTACCATGCTCGTGCGGTGGCGGGGCGGTTGGAGGGAAAAGAAGGCCCAGCCAGGGCAGGGGCAGACCGTCTTGTAGGGATTGTAGAAGAGGCAGCCCTGCGCTCGGCCTCTAGATTCAACGAGGCTGAACTGCTAAGGGGGTTATACTCCGCTCAAATGGAGGTAACCACCTTAGCAGGGGCCCTGCTGAGGAAGGTGGGGGCTGCCAAACTCAAGGCAGATGAAGCCAAGGCTCAGCTTGCAAAGTTAAAGAAGAAGAGTGTAAGTTGGGAGAGTGCCCACACTGAGCTGCCAGCGATTAAGGCGGAGCTGGAGGACATACGCCGCCAGGTTGTGTCGCTCGAGTTCCAACTTGCTGGCGAGCAAAAGAAGTTAGACGAGGCCCAAAGAGCCTGCGCCGTCGCGGTCGAGTGACATGAAGAGGCTATGAGTAGTAATGAAGAGCTGGTGAGGCAAAAAGATGAGGCTGATGACAAAGTAGGCGATCTCCAGAGGGAACTGGAGGGCCAGCGCGCCAAGGCGATGGAGGAGAAATGGAGGCTTCAGAGGGAGTTGGAAGTAGAGAGAGTGCAGGCAACGACGGAGAAGGAGAGCCTGAAGAAGGAATTGGAGGCGGAAAGGGCAAAGGCTGCGTCAGAAAGGGCGACCTTGCAGAAAGAGCTGGACGAAGAGAGGGCAAAGGCAGTCTCTGAAAAGATGGTTTATCCCAATTTGTACGTCGCAGCAGTGGAGCAATTCAAAGGGTCTGCCAAATTTCAGACGGCGGTTGATGCCGCGGTCGTGAGTAGCCTGGCTGGGCAAGAATCTGGGGGGGCGGGCCCATCGAGGACGACCGCTGGAGGCAGAACTGACGCAGAAGTTATTGAGAGCTTCCAGCAGTCAGACTTTTATAAGCACGAAATGGCTGAGTACTGGGACAGTGGCTGGAAGATGTTCAAACGTAGAGCTGAAGAGCTGTTCCCAGACTTAGACCTTAGTAGTGCAACGATGTGGCCCAAACCCCCCTGGATGAGGGCATTGAAGAAGAAGACCTCCTCTCCAGTGAGGAGGAGTAACTGAGGAGGAAGGAGAAAGAGTTTTTTTTTTTTTTGAATTGCTGTAATGAACTTTTTGTACATGAATTGCTAATGAATAAAATTTCAGTTGTGCTTGTCATTTGTCATTTGATTGTTTCTGCTTGTGGATCTAAGATGAATGAGGCGTGCGCAAAGTGTGTGTAGAACTCCTTGTTAATAAGAGTGAAATTTAAGTTTGTAATAAAGACTCAATGCAGAGTAAAGTTAAGAACTCCACAATGCAGAGTGAGATTTAAAATGATAAACCTGTGAAATTTAAAATGTAATAAAATGATAGGCCTGAGAAAGTTAGATGTAATAAAATGATAGTGAAATTTAAGAACTCCACAATGCAAAGTGAAATTTAAAATGTAATAAAATGATAGGCCTGAGAAAGTTAAATGTAATAAAATGACAAGAACGTCTTTGGAATTTGACTAAGCAAAGAGTGGTGTGAAGACTTGGACTTGGAATTGTGACTAAGTGTGTTAGTTAATTCCACAAGTATGAAGTTTTGCATGGGTGGCTTTGATCGAGCCCTACATGTTAGGTCTGGACGAGTGGTTCACGCTCAGTCTGGATGGAGCTTTTAGCGCTCGGTCCGGCAGAGGTGTTAACGGTCGGATTGCCCGAGACGGGTCATGCTTAGTCTGGATGAGGCTTTAAGTGCTCAGTCTGGCTGAGGCTTTAAGTGCTCAGTCTAGCTGAGGCTTTAAGTGCTCTGTCTGGCAGAGGCTTTTAGTGCTCAATCTGGCTGAGACTTTTAGTGCTCGGTCTGCTTGAGGCTTTAAGTGCTCTGTCTGGCAGAGGCTTTTGCTCAGTTTGGCTGAGGCTTTAAGTGCTCTGTCTGGCAGAGGCTTTTAGTGCTCAGTCTGGCTGAGGCTTTTAATGCTGCAAATAAGAATGTTACTGAGACAACATATAGATAGCTGAGATATAAAATCAAGAAGTTACATTGCGTGGGGGAATATCAAGAATGTGTGAATTTCCCGAAAAGAAAATACAATAACTGAGCAATACAAAGATAGGAGCTTATTGAAAGTAACGTTTAAGGTGTTCGGCGTTCTATGGGTAGGGGAGGTCTCGACCTTCCATGTCCTGAAGTCGGTAAGTGC